GCAATCCACTCTCCTCAGCCTCCCAAAGGCGCGGGATGACAGGCTGAGCCACCGAGCCCGACCAGAGAGGCATCGTCTTACTGACTCAACCACGACCGGGTCAGGAAACAGGTCTGAGAATGGAAACGGGGATAATGTTCTCAACATGCGGTTTGATGTTATATCCACGCGGTACCCACACACACACACTACATCTGAGGACACATTGCCCGATGGGAAATTCTAGAGGACTCGGGGCAAAGAATAAGTGATCATGGCAATCATAAATCACTTGGACAATCTCCTCTGCCCTTGGAGTTGAGAGGTGGAGACAGAAGACTTTGGAAGGATGTGCTGGGAGGAAACCTCCAGAAATAGCTGATTGACTACATGTCAGGGCCAGGTTTATATAGCACCTGCTCCAAGTCATCTGTGCAAACTGGACCCTAGAACCTAAAAGTCAAGGGCAGAGCCTCCTTTCCATCCTGTCCGCATCTTGTGAACGCTGTGGTCACCAATGAACAAAAAAACCCTGTCTGCTTTCCCTTACTGAACACATCTGTCCCTCAGGGGGAGAAAAATCCAAGATGTTATTTCTACAGGTTGCCTTATATTCTGTAAGAAAAATGCAGGCAGAACAATTGCATAACCCAAAGAACCAATTTAAGGAGTTTTAGAAATGGAAATTGCTGGCTCGGAGAACACTGACTTTCTAAGCAGAACAGCAAGGGAGGCTGAACTCATCTCATCTGTAGCCATGTAATTATCTCTGATTGTTCTGACACTCATGGTGTCACCTGCTTCAAAGGCCCACGTGAACACAGACTCCGAAGCAAGACGCCCACCTGAGCCTGGACCCCCCTCGGCAGGCGTCTGCCAGCAGCAGAGAGACAAGGGACCCAGAGGCAGGGGTCCTGGTCCCCCGGCTTTGAGACACAGTGAACAATTCACTGACCCCTTTTGCTTCTCATGGTTCATCTGTGGCAGGAGGGGCTGGCCAGAGCACTGAAGCCCTGTCCAGCTGTGACACTGCGACCTCACTTCTACACAAGCAGCCAGTTCAACACATGCATCCGGCATGAGTTTACAGAGAGCCCAGATGAAGAAATCACTCCATTTGGTGGCATGACCAGACTGAGGCCAGACTGAGCCTCTACCTAAACAATTAAGGCTTGAACTGGACCGGGCTCGGTGCCTCAGCCTGTAATCCCAGCACTTTGGAAGGTCGAGGCGAGTGGATTGCCTGAGTCCGCGGGTTGGAGACCAGCCCAGGCAACTTGATGAGACCTCGTTTCTACAATAAATCAAAAATGAGCTGGACATGGTGGTGTACGCCTGAAGTTCTGGCTACTTGGAAGGCTGAGGCAGAAGGATTGCCAGAGCCCAACAGGTCAACACTGGAGTGGCCGTGAGTGAGCCACTGCACTCCAGTCTGGGCAACAGAGTGAGACTCCAACTTAAAAAAAAAAAAAAAAAAGCCTTGAACTGGACTGACCCATTTGAAACTGCTAATATGTGTGGGCAGTCTGTACCCATCCAAAAATCAATTTCATAGAGTTGAACCTAATGAATATGGATTACTGTTTTCAAAAATCAAAATATCATGGCTATAGTGAGAGATTTTATTCCCTAAAATGATTACACGTTGTTTCGCTAAACTTGTGTTTTCACAGGTGTGTCTGGCTGACAGAGATGAACAGGCAGTGAACTATTTGCTCTCATTCTGGGTTGAAGCCTGAGGCTGGGTGCTTGGCCACATTCTTGTCATCCCACTGGCTGCATTCTAAGAGTCATTCTTTCTGGAATGCTTTTCTTGACTGCACGACTCTGATTACGTTCCCCACAGCATCCATACTTCCTCTTCACAGAATTTTATATGAGTGGGGACCTCCCCAAAACTGGAATTATCTTTTAGAGGACAGGTCCCCTATAGGCTGTGAATGTTTTTTCAGTTTAGATTCTTTCAATGCATTTGTCCATTTCATGATGGGTGATTTATGAAAGCACTTGCCCACACCACACTGAATGTTCAGCAGTTTGGGACCAAAAATGGCAATCATGCCCCACCCTCTCTATTCATCTGATCTCACCCAGAGCAGCATTTTGTTTGTTTGTTTCCTTGGATGCAAAAAGGTCCTCAGAGGGAAACATTTTGCCCATGTGGAAGAGGAGAAACAAAAAACACTAAAAGGCATCAACACTGATGAGTTCAAAAACTGTTTGAGCAGTGGAAAAAGCATCTCAATAGGTGTGTTGCATCAAAAAGAGAGTGCTTTGAAGTTCACTAAAGTTTAAGCATACAAGAATAAAATACACAACTTTCTTTTTTGAATCAGGAGTTTCACTCTGTCGCCCAGGCTGGAGTGCAGTAGCACCCTCACGGCCACCATAGCCTCGACCCGCTGGGCTCAGGCAAGATCCTTCCACCTCAACCTTCCCAGTAGCTGGAACTACAGTGCAAGCCACCATGCCCAGCTAATTTTTTTATTTATTGTAGAGATGAGGTCTCGTCAAGTTGCCCAGGCTGTTCTTGAACCTGTGAACTCAGGCAATCTCCTCACCTCGGTCTCCCAAAGTACTGGAATGACAGGCTTGAGTCACTGCGCCTGGCCACAATTTTTTATAAATACATTTTTGGGTCTCGCCTCGTACTTTGCTATAATTCCCTGCACTCAAGGGCCTTATAGGCCAGAGAGCAGCAATCACATTCAGGTCCTTTCTGTATTCATGGTCTGTAGAGGAGTGCCTGGCAGATATCAAGCACTCAATAAACATTGGATAAACAAGTGGACGCCTGAACCAACAAATGGATTGTGCTTTTAATGTTACAAAGAGCAGATTATATTCTTACATTAGGATTTTACTTGCCGTTCTCTTCTCTGTAATCAGAGACCTTGATCCTTTGATCCCATTACGAGTTCCACGTAATTTCAGGAATGTGAGATGAAGGAAGACAGAGGCTCTTCTGTGCTGTGAGATTCCCAAAGGACATGTACCAACGACACAGTGTCCCCAGTATTTTAAAAATTAATTTCCATAGCTCTAGGGGTACAAGTGGTTTTTGGTTCAATGGATGAACTGTAGAGTGGTGAAGTCTGGGCTTTTAGTGCACCTAGGAATATATTTCACCAAGGCAGTGAAATACTTCTGCAAGGAAAACTACTAAACACTGATGAAAGAAATCATAGGTGACATAAACAAATGAGAAAACATCCCATGCCCATGGATTAGAAAAATCAGCATCATTAAAATGACCATACCCTCCTACTGGTTTTGTTTTTTGTTTTTTGTTTTTTTGAGTTGGAGTCTCACTCCATCACCCAGGCTGGAGTGCAGTGCCATACTCAAGGCCACCCCAGCGTCAACCTGCTGGGCTCTGGCAATCCTTCCGCTTCAGCCTTCCAAGTAGCCAGAACTATAGGCGTGTGCTACCACACCCGGCTAATTTTTGGTTTATTGGAGAGATGAGGTATCGCCAGGGCTGGTCTTGAACCTGCGGGCTCAGGCAATCTACTCGCTTCGGCCTCCCAAAGTGCTGGCATTGCAGGCTAAGCCTGGCCTCTCCTGTTGTTAAAAACACATCTTGGCACTACTTAGAACAATTACCCTGAGCGGCTGAGGGACCATGTGCCATTCATTCTAGAAACTGTCAAAGTCAAATAACCAACTTGTAGATGCTTTAACATTCATACTAGACACCAAGGCTCTGCGAACTTCCCTGTTGAACATCTGACCCCTGCTACTTGAGGACACAAAATGTAATTGTGCAACTTAATTACACATTCCAAGGGCAATGGCGTTGGGTCCTCTGGTTTGATTCAGGAAAGCAATAAGGTGATCAGGGGTCACTGTGAACATGGTTCGAAGGGAAGTATCTTCTTAGCTTTATTCTGCAAATGACCAATTTATCTTTTTGCCTGGTATCTGCCCCAAATGTTTACTGCTTAAAATTGCTCCAGGTTGACCTAAAGCCAGTGTTACTTCCTTTTGTGTTGTGGTTGTTTTTATAAAACTACAAAAATAATGCCAATTATGTTCCAAAATGCAAAGAATGAAAGAAATAAAACTAATTATCCTCCAGTCCCCATAGGATGGTCATTATAACCAAAGGACACCATTTTTATTCTGCATAAAAATGAGCAAAGTGTCAAATAACAAAGAAGCAACGCACAGTAAATCTCAGTTAATAACCCATTTAGAAAGCCGGGCTCGGTAGCTCAGCCTGTAATCCCACGCCTTTGGGAGGCTGAGGTGAGTGGATTGCCTGAGCCCGCGGGTTCGAGACCCACCTGGGCAGAGAGACCTCATATCTACAATAAATCAAAAAATCAGCTGGGCGTGACAGCACATGCATGTAATTCCAGCTACTCGGAAGGCTGAGGCAGAAGGATCGCCGGAGCCCAGTAGGTCGAGGCTGCGGTGGCCGGCAGCGGCCACTGCACTCCAGTCTGGGTGACAGAGTGAGACTCCAACTCAAAAAATAAAAATAAAAATAACCCATTTAGAAAGAAAATACATTTTATTTGGGTGCCCTGACTGTAAACATTTATTTGAAGAAAAGTGACATGTCCACATCTCAAAGCAACTCAGTGGTCTTCGAGAGACCTCATATTAATTTTAACATTTTTGAGAAGATAAATTTTTCCCTAGATAATACTTTCCGAAAATATGAAGAAGACGGCAATTTGAGCACAGAGCTTTATTTTTCCCTTCAAGTGGACCCCAAAGCAATAACCAGTGGAATATGATAATAGATTGAAAAAACTCTGCATCTGTGCTGAAAATTAGGTACCCCCTGAATGCTACAGACTATAAGAGTCACTGAGAAGTCACATGAGACTTGAACACCTCATGCAGGCAACATAGCATGGTTAGGGCTGCCAGATAGAACACAGGAGCTCAGTTACATTTTAATTTCCAGCATAAAGAAATACTCCCATGGGACATGCTTATAAGAAAAAATACATATTAAAAATGTGTGATTTTTTTTCTGGAATTCATATGCAATAGGCAACTTGCATTTTTACTTTGTCAATCTGGCAACCCTCAGCATGCTGTCAGCCAGGTGGAACTATCCTGATATTTGTAAGGGCAAATGCCATGAGTCCATGAGGATGCTCCCTCACTTGGTCCTAATGCCAGGTGCCAACAGGCTTTGCAATGAGCTGAATGAGACTCAAGATGTGGAGTCAAAAGCAATTCCATCTTGAATGCTCATGTGAGTTGACTTCTGATAAACCCCAAGTCCATGAATGCCTTCTGATTGCTAGTTTATTTACTGTCCAAAGTGCCAGAACATGTCAACCTTGATGTCATCACACAAAGGATACACTATGATGCAGACAGCATCCTTACCTGTTCTGGAAGATGCCCTTGCATTGTCGTGCTTTCCCCATGGTCGACAGGCTCTGGGTCTGAGGAGTAACAGGACAGAGACCTACCTGTCCTGTGGCTGCCCAAGACCTCACCATTGTCTGTAAGCCCCCCAGTAAACCACCCAATACTGACAACCTGGTGTTGTCTGGCTCCTTCTTTGGTTTCTAGGCTCCTTCTGCATTTGGGAGTCACTTTGCATATATGACCCTTTCGGGAAACACAAGAACGAGGGTGACCACACTGCACAGAAAGCCCTAACATGCCAGGGTTTCTTGCTCATGTTGCTCCCTCTAGCAAAGCAAAGACGGGGCAGAAGGTCTGACACTCCTCCTGGAGTGAGTCTAAATCTCACACCACTTAACAAAAAGCCTGGGTCCACGCACAAAACTCAGAGAAGGCGCCTTGTAGCAACGCGTCTCCCCTGCTGGGAATGCCAACAGCCCCAGGAAACCCGTACTCATCATCCCTGGAGCTGCTGGGTCCTATGGCAATATGCAATCCCAATGCAAGAAAGTCTGCCCTCATTGAAGAACATTTCAATCAGCAAACAAAAACACCAGGAGAATAGGACCCAGGATAGAAAATGCAGAAGGGAAGAAAAAAATTCAAAAAGGCATTCGAGAGGTAGAGGACTAACACAGTTTTGAAGAGTGTTTACCACAGAATATCGGAGTGTGTTTTATACAGAGTAACGTGTGAGGTCATAGTCATCCAGAAAAGCAGGGCCTTTGTTGTTTTCTAAAAATAAAGAAACAAGACTGGGATGGAGGAAGATCTTCAGTATTAAAAGTAAGGATTTAAAACGGCTTCAGATGCAATAACACAAACTTAAAAATGCAGAAAACTGAATTTATCGTACGAGAAGAAGAATTTTCGAAACTTTCCCTACAGCTAAATGGAAACGGCAAAGAAATAAAAACAATCAGGAAGAGACTGTAACCATGAGAGACACAGGTTAGACATTCACAACAGAGGATGGGCTGTTTTTTTTGTTTTTTTTCTTTGGAGTCTCCACCCAGGCTGGAGTGCAGGGGCACGCTCACGGCCACCGCAGCCCCGACCTGCTGGGCTCAGGCAGTTCTTCTGCCTCAGCCTTCCAAGTAGCTGGAACAACAGGCACGCACCACCACACCTAGCTAATATTTTAAAAATTTATTGTAGAGACTAGGTTTCGCCATGTTGCTCAGGCTGCTCTCAAACCCCTGGGCTCAGGCAATCCTCTCGCCTCTTCCTCCCAAGGGCTCAGATGACAGGCGGGAGCCACCGCACATGGTCTATGATGGACTCTTAATGGAACCACCAGAAACATACAGAAGAACCAGCAGAAGAAGGCAAAACAGAAACGAGCACACCCCTGGGCCTCTGTATGTATGTAGATTATGATTATATGCAATATTATTATTATTATTATTATTATTATTATTTGAGTTGGAGTCTCACTCGGTCGCCCAGA